ACTTCCTGCTGACTTAAACCCACATCCTGGCAGTATCCTGAGCTCTCCCTTTCTCTATGCTCCCCTTTCTTCTGCTGTTTCTTTTATGGCCTGGTTCAGTCTGTGGTCTACTGCCATGTTCAGTCTGTAACGGTGAAAGTAAAATGCTGCAGGTCCCCAAGTGGTAGCAGTGGGCAGTGGGCATGAGACCATGGCAGGCCACGGAAGCAACCACCCCAGGTATGATGGGGAAGTTCAACCAATCACACTGGTTAGGGTGTGGCCGCCTGTAGCCCAGGTAGAAAAACCTGGGTAGCTAGGCATGTGGGTGTGCACGCGCGCCCGCGCTCTCTCTATGACGCAGGGCTCACTGGACCATTTTGGATTTCGGACCTTCCACTCTTGTAGCGTGAGTTCTCCCCCCCTTTTCTTTTTCTTTCTTTCTTTCTTTCCTTTTTATTTATTTCTCCTTTTTCAATTATTAAATTATATCTGTTATTCTTGAGCTGGTCTGGTTATTTATCATACCGACCGAATAAGTCAACACAGGTAGAGAGCCCCAGTGGGTGGGGCTTGTCTCATAACGGGACATGATAGACCATTACATAGTCTACTACTTTCTTTCTCTGCTCTGGACTCTTCCAGATGTCTCTGGATGTTTTCCTTCTCATACCTATAACAACCTTCCCCTTAAGCGTTCTATGGAGTGGTTATGTTGTTGGTTTATACACTAGGAAAGTGCCTTCCCATGGAGCTCTGTCATGGCTGTCTCCACTTTCAGTAATCTTAATCGCCCTTTTCACTGTCAGTTTCTTACGGCCTCAGTCAGCATTCGGCAGGAGTCTCCTGGTTGTCTCCGCAGCTCCTCCACTCCTTATCCTTTGTTTTTAGGTTCTAAAGACCAAACCGCGGGGCCTGCTTTCAATCTCCTGCTCAATTTCCTGTCCAACTTCCCTCAATGATGGACTGTGACCTCAAAGTATAGACCAAATATACCATTTCCTCCTCTGAATTGCTTTGGGGGCTAGTGTTTGTTATAGTAACAGATCGAATCTGGAACAGTTGTGCTAACCACTATCCCACCAATGTTGAAGCAGCGCTGGGAAACTGAACCGACTTCTAGTTGCTGAGGCATCGGTTCTGCCATGCCTGGTTCTCTGGAAGCTCCTTGCAGACCTGGGGGGGCGGGGGGTGGGGGTGGGGATGTAGCTCAGCAGGATAGTACTTGCCTGGTATGCATGAGTCCTTGATTCAATAGATGCAGGCAGTTCCCCAGGAAAAACAAACAGCCCTGTCCCCCTCACCCCCCACTGTTTCTCGTGACAGAAAGCCTGCAGCTGTAAATACTTTGTCCCATTGACGTCTTTATCTGTGTTCTCTAATCCTGGAATGACTCTCTTCCGGAATTGGGAGCCAACCCTTTGAAATGTTATCATCAACAAGGTCCAGCCCTTGTTTACTACTCTCTGAGGAAGGGTGGGAGCCTGTGACAAGCACCAGTTTAAGGACGCGAAAATCTAGCTGTGGTGCAGACCTGTGACCCCAGAGTTCAGGAGGCAGAGGCAGGAGGATCAGGAGTTCAATGTCATGCATAGCTACATACTGTTATGCCCAGATCATGGAATCTCCCCAAAACCAACTAGGAGACCAAGTGCTGTATGTAAAAGCAAAGAGCCTTTATTCTTACACAAATTTGCAAATTTAGACTCCCTGTGTGTCCAATGTATTGGAGTAGTCTAAAAGCCCCAAGCTTAGCTAGGGTTGGGTTTCTATAATAGCAATGGTGGGGGTGAGGGATTTCTAAGGTTCAGGACCCCTGATTGGCTGACATTTGTGTAGGGTGTCTTGGTGAAAAGAAATGGGTGTGTGCTGGCAGGTGATCCTATCTACCATGGTTGGAACATTTGGAATTTCCTTTGGATGGTCTTCCTGGGTGGTGCCTGGGTAGTCTCAGTTTGTGGTCTCTTTCTTGGAATCAGGTTAGGGTAAACTACTAAGACTTAGGCCTCTATTGAGCTTGTCATGGCTAGGTCCTACACTTACCGAGTTCAAGATCTACAGAAAAGCCTGTATCAAAACAAATATACAACCCCTAAAGAAAACAAAATCTAACAAAAAGGGCACAGATGATAAAACCACACCTTTTAAAGCCTTCAGCCCTGTTGCTAGGGAGATGACAGAAGCCCTTGATAGGTGTGATTTCCGGCACCTATGCAGTAGGCTCACATTGGGCTCAAGAATGCCCTAAAAACAAGGGCTGAAGGGAGATATCTGCCAGGGCCTGGAAGAAACCCACCCTCATCTTGGCCACCATGGAGGAAGACAGCAACTAGGGGATATGGGGCTCAGTCCCCCTCCCTGAGCCTAGGGTAACCTTAAAGGTGGAGGCGAACCAATTTAATTCATGGTGGACACTGTAGTGGAAAGTTCAATACTCCTAACTTCAGGAGGCCCCCTATTCAAAGACAGACCTGGGTCTAGGGGGCTGTTGTATGAGGAGCAGGCTGCTTATTTGTTCCAGCCGCCTGGCTAGCTTACACCCAAAATAACCACACAGAAACTGTATTAATTAAAACACCGCTTGGCCATTAGCTCTAACTTCTTATTGGCTAACTCTTACATATTAGTTTAACCCATCTCCATTAATCTGTGTATTGGCACGTGGCTGTGGTTTACCGGAGATTCTAACTGGCATCCGTCTGAGGTGGAGGATCCATGGCTTCTTCCTGACTCTGCTTTCTTCCTCCCAGAATTCAGTTCTGTCTCCCCTGCCTACCTAAGTTCTGTCCTATTAACTAAGCCAAAGCAGTTTCTTTATTCATTAACTAATGAAAGCAACACACAAACAGAAGGAACTCCTACACCAGGGGGCCACAGGGACCAAATCTTACCCATGGAATAACCAAAGAACAGTGGACTTAGGAATGGGATGGGTAATGCATTCATTCTTAGTAATACCTGGTTGCCCCTACCCCTACTGGGCTGAGATGTCTTGTCTAAAATGAAAACCCAAATCCAATTCTCTGAAAAAGGAACAAAATTGGACCATCAAAATGGGGAGCCAATTAGAGTCTTGGTCATCAGCGACTTAGCTGAGGAATACAGACTCTATCAAAACCCGACAACACCAGAGCCTGATATAGAAGACTGGCTCCATGGGTTCCCTCTGGCCTGGGTGGAGACAGGGGGCATGGGGCTGGCCCTTCATAGGGCCCCAGTTTATGCTGAGATCAAGGCAGGAGCGGAACCCGTCAAAGTCCACCAGTATCCAACGCCATTGGAAGCTAAAAGGGGCATAACGCCTGATATATGGAGACTATTAAAGCTGGGAGTCTTGCAACCAGTCAAAAAGCCTTATGCAAATGAATATTGCCCAGGCAGGACTTGAGGGAAGTCAACTAAAGGGTGATGGATATTCATCTTGCCGTACCTAACCCATACACTTTGTAGAGTACCTTGTCTCCCGACTAGCAATGGTATACTGTTTTGGATCTCAAAGATGCCTTTTTCAGCCTGTCACTAGCCCCCAAGAGCCAGGCCTACTTTGATTTCAAATGGCATGACTCAGAGATCGGAATTAGTGGACAGTTGACTTGGACTCGCTTGCCTCAGGGTTTCAAAAACTCTCCCACCATCTTTGACGAGGCATTGCAGGAGGACCTGGGGGAATATCAATTCCAAAACCAGAGGTAAGTCTGTTATAATATGCAGATGACATGTTGCTTGCTCTGAAGGACTGAGAAAGTTGCATGAAAGAGACTGAAAACCTGTTACACAACCTTGGAGAACTGGGGTACTGAACATTGGCAAAAAAGGCCCAGATCTGTCAACAACAGGTAACCTATTTGGGATATGTTCTTCAAAAATGGCAAAGATGGTTGACTGAGGCCGGAAAAGAGGCTGTGTTAAAAATTCCAGACCCCAAAATGGCCAAACAAGTTAGGGAGTTCCTGGGGATGGCGGGATTCTGCTGCCTTTGAGTTCCTGGGTTTGCAGAGATTGCTAATCCCTTGTATGAGGTCACAAAAGGAAGTCAGGACTTTATATGGACAGAGGAGAGACAAAAAACACTTGTAACCCTAAAACACAAGCTCCTAGAAGCCCTGGCCTTGGGACTACCAGATGTAAACAAACCCTTCACCCTGTTTGTAGATGAAAGCCAGGAATAGCAAAGGGAGTGGTTACCCAACTTACTGGGCTCTGGAAGCAATCGGTGGCTTATTTGTCAAAGAAACTAGATGGCCCCCATGTCTACACATCATCCCAGCAATGGCGCTGGTAGTCAAAGATGCAGATAAACTAACCCTAGGACAAAACCTGACTATGGCCACCCCACATGCCATTGAAGGTATCCTAAAACAGCCACTGGCTGAGCAATGGCAGAGTCACTTACTATCAAGCCCTGCTGTTAAATCCTGCTAGAATAACCTTTCAGGTACCAACCACACTCAATCTGGCCATATCACTGATGGACCCAAACTTGGAAGCTCCCCTCCATGATTGCGAGGGAATCCTGGCACAGGTACATTACATCCGATCCAACCTTCAGGACACCCTGCTATCAGATATGGAAGAGACCTGGTTCACTGATGAGAGCAGGTACATGCGGGATGGACACAGGTATGCTGTGGTAGCAGTCACCATGACATTCAAGGTGATTTGGGCAGAAATAGTGCCCCCCCAACATCAGCCCAGAGGGACGAACAACAGCCCTAACCAAAGCCTTAAACCTGGGAAAGGACAAAAAGATTTGTTGATTGCCTTTGGGTGGGCTACTCAGTCTAGGGGTTGTAACCCACCCGGCAGTCAGTTATTCCAGGGTCACGGAGAGGCACTACCTGGAAGATAATGGGCTAGGAAAGCGGAAGGAGGCTAAGCGAGAGTTCTTGTCAAAGCCTCCGTTTATTAGAGACGGGGTACAACTTTTATAGGGTAAAGAGTTGGGGGATGGGCACAGGGGCCTGGGCTCTTGCCGCGTGGTTCACGTTGGTCACATGGTCCTCGTTGGTCACGTAGGCAGGAGGTTATCTTTGTTCAGGTCACTGTAGGCCAAGAAGTCACGAGTTGACACACCTAGCTCCCTAGATAGTTTGGAATGTGGGGTGGGTTCCGCTAACAGATAGCTCTCCATAAACAGCCAATTTGGGTGTGGGGTAGGCTCTGTCAATAGAACGATTCCTAACACAATTAAGGGTGTGGGGTTCTCTGCAGACTCCCCAGGGTGATGGTTCCTGTAATGATTTTAGGAGGAAATTGGCTCCTAACAAAGATTAACCTTTACACAGATCATAGGTATGCTTCTGCTACCCTACACATCCATGGAAAGAGGGTTGTTAACCCAGAAGGAAAAACTATCAAAAACAAACAAGAGACCCTAAGCTTAGTACAGGCTCTATGGCTTCCCAGGAAACTGGCTGTGATGCATTGTCTGGGTCACCAGACGGGGACCGACTTGGTCACCAAAGGAAACAACCTAGCAGACAAAACAGCCAAGGAGGTGGCCCTAGATAGACCCCACCTCACTCTACCAGTCCAGATGGACCCAGGGCCATGCACCTCCCTCCTCCATGCCACAAAAAAAGAGGACACTGACTGGGTTACCAGAGTCGAGGTGGTTCGCAAAGGAAATGGCTGGTACCTCCCAACTGGGAAAGTCCTCCTCCCACAATTGATGGGCCAACATGTACTGTACGGGATCCATCGCTCCACCCATATGGGGACCAAAAGAATCAAGAACTTGCTCCAGAGGTCACCTTCAAAGACATGCCAGTCAGCTAATTGACATATATATATATGTCAATATATTTATTGCCAGGAGTGTCAAATGGTGTTTACCATACAAGAGGAGATAAAGGTACCTGGGCAAGAGGAACTCGACCTGGAGTATAATGGGAGACTTCACTGAAGTCAAACTAGGAAAATATGGTTATAAATACTTGCTAGTCTTTGTAGATAACTTTTCAAGCTGGATGGAGGCGTTCCTGACCAAACACGAGACTGCGTATGTAGTAGCCAAAAAGATTCTTGAAGTAATTCTTCCCAGGTTTGGTGTCCCACACATGTCTGGATCAGGTAAGGGACTTGCCTTCGTCTCTCAGGTAAGTCAGGAAATAGTGGCCACACTGGGAGCCAAATGGAAGTTACACTGTGCACATAGATCCCAGAGTTCAGGACAGGTTGAGCTGGTAAATCAGACTCTATAAGAGACCCTCACCAAATTAGTCCTGGAGACTGGTGGGGACTGGGTTGCCCTCCTTCCTTATGCTCTGTTTAGGGCTAGGAATACCCACTATCAGTTAGATTTAACCCCCTTTGAGATCATGCATGGGCACCCTTCTCCTTTCATCCCCAGCCTAGTCTGAGCTAATTGCACCAGTCAGGGAAATAGATTTAGCCCAAAGTCTAAAAGCACTCTCCCAAGTTAGGGCCGAGATCTGGCCAAGACTAAAAGAGATTTACTCTACTGCTTACCCACCTAAGCTGCATACCTTCCAGCCTGGAGATTGGGTCTTGGTTCTGGCGACATCAACACCGCAGCCTCAAGCCGTGCTGAAAGGGACCATACCTGGTGATCCTTAAGACTCCCACCACAATCCAAGTGGATGGAATTGCCCCCTGGGTTCACCACGCCCACATTCGACTATTCCATTAGTCGCCAGTGGAGGAAAACTGGAAATCACACCTTGATCCCAGCAACCCCCTGCGATTAAAACTTCACTAAAATGGCCACCTTGCTACTGCTGTTGGCCCTGCTTCTGCTCCAGATGCCAGAAGTCGGGACTGCGCGCCACCAACCAACCCCCATCAGCCAGTATAGCAGACATGGACTGTATACATTTCCGGGGAAGAAGAGGCTTTGTCGGCTGTTAACACGGCTCTGGACACCTGGTTCCCTGATCTTACCATTGACGTTCAAACCCTTCCAATGCACGCTGGACTTTCATCATCATCCGCCCGCTGGAGCGCTGGCGGTTCATCCAGGTCAATGGTATCTTTGTCTAGGACACACATAAAAATTTTGGTCAGGATGTTGGGGAAGCGGAGATTTTTATTGTGCAAAATGGAGATGTGAAACCAATGCTAGTACAGGGCACAGCGTTAGCAGGACTTAATCCAAGTCACCTGGAAATATCCCCAGAGTTCTTCTCCTCCTCCAGGTCCCCTAGGGATGTTTAAGCTCATCCCCGGAGGTAAAAATGCAGACTGGGTAACACCAAAACACGGGGACTGCGATTTTACGACTCCACTGGCTCACATTACAGGGTGCCCATCTCTACAGCCCAGTCTTTCCAGCTATCCACATTTTCTGTAGGCCCAAACATTATTCCGAGCTGCCCCAAGGGTACTCGAGCTCCGGAAACCTTGCTCCCAGAGATATTTACCCCAAGCCCGCATTTACCTTCCACGACACTGTACCCTGCACCCGTTTCACCTTCAGCTGACAGACTACTAAAATTATGCGTCTTTTGCATTCTTAAATAATTCAGCCCCTAATCTCACACTGCTTGCTGGCTTTGCCTTATGCTCAGCTTCCATATTATGAAGGAATTGCCATCATATCTGATGCTTCCTGTTGCAGATGGCAATCTCAGGTCTCACTCACCCTGACTGAAATACAAGGTTATGGCACTTGCCTTGGAGAGGTGCCCCCCCAATCTAAGACATTGCAACAATTCCGTTGCCCTGAGTCAGCAGAAATGGGGTACATTGTACCCCCCGAATATGCCTGGTGGGCCTGTTCCATCAGCCTAACTCCTTGTTAGTAAGTATAGTATAAGTATATACATATACTTAGCATCACTTCCAAGTATTGGATCATAGTTAGACTCATCCCTGAGGTGGTCTACCATGACACCGATTTCCTAGCCCATGGTCAATAGCTCCCCTTCTCAGGACAAAAAGAGAGCCCTTTACTACCCTTACCTTGTCCATCCTCCTTGGGGCATGGTTGACAGGATTAGGCATGCTGACCCGTCACCCAACAGGCTGGATATCAGTCAGCATCTACATAAGTCCATTGACGAAGACATCCAACACCTAGAGTCATCTATGTTGAGCCCGGAGGCCTCCCTAGACAGTTTAGCTGAGGTAGCCTTACGAAATAGAAGAGGACTAGATCTGTTACTTCTTCAGCAAAAGGGCCAATGCATGGCCCTAGTAGAAGAGTACTTCTCCTATGCCAATAAGACAGGGGTAATTAGGCAAACAGTGGCTAAAATACAGGACGGTTTGTTACACAGACAAAAGGAACCTGACGCTTCCCAAGGATGGTTTGAGTCCTGGTTTTCATCATCCCCTTGGCTAACAACATTGGTAACTTTAAAAATTTAAAAAACTTTGCAACATCAAGAGCTAGTTGAAAAACAGGGTATCTAACTAGGACATTGAGTTCAAGCACAAACCACAGAATGTTCCTGGCCACTTGTCAACACCCAACTTCGTGGTCTACCAGGGAACAGCAGAAGCAACCGCTTTGGGGAGGCGGGGCATGCTAGAGATAATTCACACCTGCTGTTATGTAAACCAGCTCCCTTGACCCAAAATAAATCTGCTTGTGGTTTTTGCCTATATATGTCAGCCTCAATTGAGAATGGGGGCTTCACCCTACTGTGCTACGCTGTGAGTAGAGGTTGAGCTCCCAGCCTGGCATGGACTTCGCATGCTGAATAAACCTTGCTTTTTTTTTTTTTTTTTTTTTTGAGGCAGGGTTTCTCTGTGGTTTTGGAGCCTGTCCTGGAACTAGCTCTTGTAGACCAGGCTGGTCTGGAACTCACAGAGATCCGCCTGCCTCTGCCTCCCAAGTGCTGGGATTAAAGGCGTGCGCCACCTAAACCTTGCTTTTTCATTCTGGACTTGACTGGATTCCGGTGGTCTCTCTGGGGGTTGAGACTTGGACACAACAACCTTGACCTGTTTTGTTCTAGCAACAGAAAACTATGAATGTAGCCTGTGACCTTCAATTGGTATGTTCATTTCCTAGTATCATGTTAATGCAGTCTTTTGTCTTTGACCTTTTAGGGTCAGGGTGTATTTTGACCAATTGGAAAATAAATGCAGGCAAATTTTCAGTACTCACTGGAATTCCTTACCAAAACTATTCTGTTTCTTTGTTTTATTGTTTTCATTCACATCTTCATATTCTTTACTATATTTCTAAATCCCCACGCTTCTACCCTAGAAAAAGGTTTTTTTGTCCAGGCTGGGTCCCGACAAGAAATTTTTGCTTCTGAAATTCTTTTTTTTCCAAATTCAGGCTCTGGGCAACTGTTGACTGCCAAATCATCTTCATTATTTGTTATAGCACTGAACCCCAGGGACACCAGCCTCCTGGGATTTTTATATTTGCTATTTTAAAAATAGTCATAAAACTGGTAATGAGATATGAAAATTAATAACATTCATCTTTCTGTCTTTGAAAGTAATTACATAGTCACTACACAAAGTTGAGAAAACAGAGATTAAACAAAATAGAGAAAATAAAATCAGTTCTATTGTGTTTCCAAAGCTCTGAGAATCTCAATAATTTCTCTTCCTCTCTTTTCTTCTTGTGTGTGTGTGTGTGCACATCTGTGTGCATAAACATGTGTGCGCATGCATGAGGCTCATGTGTGGCGGTCAGAGAACAACCCTTGGGAGCCGATTTTGTACTTTTACAATGTGGATACCAGAGGTGGAAACAGAGATCATTAGGTCTGGAATCTAGTGCCTTTACCATCCCCCAGTCCTTGATAATTTCTTTTTTTTCTTTGTTTTTTTGAGGCAGGGTTTCTCTGTATGTGTGTGTTGTGTACCAAACGTGTCTCAACATTTTTCAGTCCACATCTAACCCTAATTTTTATTTTATCTTGGAAAAGGGTTTCATGTATCTCAAGCAGGTAGCTGAGGATAACCTTGAAGCAATCTTCCTGTCTCCGCTTCCTGAGTGCTGATACTAAAAGACGCACTACTATACCGAACTTTTTCCTGCTTTGAATTACTCAGAAAATAGCATCAAAGGCAGGTCATGAAAACTGAAAGTGCTAGTCTCAGCGAAGGTGGGCTAAATTGTTTTTAAGCAGATGACTGTACACTGCATGGGTTTTCCTGAGGTGGTGCAAACACATATCTATTTACCTCAAATAGGGCATTAGTGGCAGAGCAAATAGATGGTTCCTCCCAAAATTTCCAAAATATTTCCAAAAATACCTAATGGTAATCACAAGGGGGAAACTCCCTGTTTCTCAAGGTTATTCTCAAGATTACAATCTAACTTTATCTTCAGCTAGTTCCTGAAACAGAGTCACTGAACCAGCTAATCCTAGATTTCAGATTATTCTCTTCCTGCTTAGATTTTTGGCTATTTTCTTCCTGTGCGGGGGAGGGGAGGGCTGGATTTATCCAGGGATACCTGGATTTATCCAGGTCTTTCACAGCATGAGGACAACTCCTGAAGACTGTCCTGGGGCTCCCTGAATAATCAGCAGGCAGCTCAGTCAGCTAGTCTCCTCAGCAACTGCTCACTGTGTGTACAAGGGAGGAGCCCTGTGAATCTTTCAACTATCAGGAACTTCCTGAGTACTGTAAGATTTATTCACTTCCTGAGTCTATGGACTTCCTTCTTTCAAAGAAAACAGCCACACAATATTCTACTCCTTCCTCCATTTTTTTAAAGGCAGGATCTCAGTCTTGCCATGACTATACCTACACAGGGTAGCCTGAAACCCAGGAGACTAGCTTGGAACTCACAAGCACCAATCTAGCCCCAGCCTCCCAAGTTGCTAAGATTATAAATTTGTGCCACCAGGCTTGGCTTAATGTTTATATATAATTTTTCTTGTTTGCTTGTTTTTGAGACAGGGTTTCTCTGTGCAGCCCTGGCTATCCTGAAACTCTCTCTGTAGACCAGGCTGGCCTTAAAACTTAGAGATTCACCTGCCTCTGTCTCCCAGGTGCTAGGATTAAAGGCATGCACCACTTCTGCCTGATATATTTGCATTGTTTTAGCTCCCTGTTCCACTATGTTCTCTGGGCTTTGGAGGTGGTGATATAGATACTTGTTTATTTCTCCGTTTATGGTTGAGTATCACAGCAATAGCTATTTATAAGACTGTTTATAAGTCTCTGTATTAATCACTACCCACTGTGAAAAAAAACCCCAAAACCAAAAAACAGTTTTCTTTTACATGTGTGGTGGATGAGTGAGCTGGGGTGGGAGCGGGGCTGACCAGGCTCTCCTAGTAACCTGACAGAAATCTAAGCCTTAGTTTCAGTTCTCTTAAAAGGAACAGAGCTAAACAGACAGACCTCAGAAAAACCACAGCCTTCTGCTGGCTCAGCAGGTACCCCAAGGCCCCTTCTGGTGGCTCAGCAGGCTCCCAAAGCCCCTTTGTTGGCTCAGCAAGCGTCCCCCAGTCTCCTGATAACTAAAGATAGTTTTCCCTGTCCTGCTGCTAGAAGGTCCCTAACCACTAGGACCTTGGACCAATCAGCTCCCATACTAATCTTTCTTCCATCAATCAGCCCCAGATGAATCCTTTCTCTCTGGATTTCTCCTATCTCTGTTTAAAAGGAGCTTGTGACATTCTTTGGGGGTCACCAAGTGCCATCCCAATGTTGGAATTAATAAAGTACTCCTGTTATTGCATATGTGGGCAGTTGGTTTTCTTTGGGGGCTTCTCTCGGACTCTAACAGTGGATAGCACCAATAATCAACAGATGGAAACTCAAAGCTGGGTGGTGGTGGTGCATGCCTTTAATACCAGCACTTGGGAGGCAGAGGAGGTGGATCTCTGTGAGTTCGAGGCCAGCCTGGTCTACAAAGTGAGCTCCAGGACTGGTACATAGAGAAATCCTGTCTCAAAAAAAAAACAAAACAAGCCGGGCGGTGGTGGCGCATGCCTTTAATCCCAGCACTCGGGAGGCAGAGGCAGGCGGATCTTTGTGAGTTCGAGGCCAGCCTGGTCTACAAGAGCTAGTACCAGGACAGGCACCAAAGCTACAGAGAAATCCTGTCTCAAAAAACCAAAAAAAAAAAAAAAAAAACAAAAACAAAAAAAACAAAACAAAACAACAACAACAACAACAAAAAAAACATGTAAACTCAAATGCTTAAAATGTGTCTTGGGATTGGGGATATAGTTTACTTTGTAAAACTCTTCCCTAGTATATAAAAGCCCCTGGATTTGATCCCCGGCATTGCATAAAATTGAAGGTGGTATTTGTCTGTACTCTCAGTAGTAGGGAGGTAGAGATAGGAGCATCAGGAATCCAAAGTCATTTTAGCTACACAGTGAGTTTAAGGCCAGCCAGCCTGGGCTATGTAAGACCCTTTCTAAAAATTAAAAAAAAGAAACAAGGAACATATCTAAGGAACACATCTGTTGTGTGGACAATCCATTTCCACACAACACACCTACTCACCCCAGATGTTGAGATAGGGAGCTGCGGGGCTGCGTCCCTGGCACCCCAGCCGCCTGCATGGCTAGCTTTACCCAAAATAATTACACGGAAACTGTATTCTTTTAAACAATGCCTGGCCCATTAGTTCCAGTTTCTTTTTGGCTAGCTCTTACATATTGACCTAACCCATTTCTAATAATCTGTGTAGCCCACGAGCTGGCTTACCAGGAAAGATCTTAACCTGCATCTGCCTGGAGTGGGAGAATCATGGTGACTCCCTACTCAGCTTCTTTCTCCCAGCATTCTGTTCTGTTTACTCTGCCTACCTAATTTTCTGTCTTATTAAAGGGCCAGGGCAGTCTCTTTATTTAACCAATGAAATTAACACAAAACAGAAGACTCTCCCCCATCACTCAGACAAGAAGCCCACAACATACCAAAGTACAACTTGGTCAACCAATCATTTTTATTGGACTTTCTTGTAGGAATATGGTGAAGGGCTACTTAAAGGAGCAAAAATGACTCAAAGACAGCATCATTATCATCAAAGCCTACTCTGTTGTCAGGGATACACCAGAGAAGACGATTTGGACAAGGGTTTAAGCCAGTAGAAAGACTTTACTAGCTGACTGTCGACTACAAAGGGTGACTACATTGTGAAGCCCAGTACAGCATCCAGCCTTTCTCAGTGGGAGCTTTTAAGCACAACCTAGTGTTGACATACTTCAGTTAGCCAGAAGCAGAACCACAGAAACCA